AACTGAGGCACAGCAGATGTAGACCGTTGTTTCAAGAATACATGTTATGCTGATTATCACACTAAAAAGTCAGCTATCAGATGGACTGCGGCGAAGTGCAGTCACAGCAGGCGCTAGCAATAGAACAGCATGACCGTACATATCGCCGATTCTGACATGACCACATAAGAATACAAAGATATCCCAGGGGTTGGCAAATCAACGACTTTATCACTCATTTCTTGGCTGGTTACACAAAAGCAATGTAAGGTAAATTCCTTGCTCAAACGAATCCCTGGCAAAGACAACGATAGTCTCTTACCCGGATTCAAACCCGGCACCTCTAGCATTCGACGTCGACCTCTTAGCCACTGTACCACAGCGCTTCAGAACGGAGTAGATAAACAAGATAAAGAAAGATCTAAGTTCAGAGAAATATTATGTCCTATACGATGCAATAATCGGTGCTTTATTGTAAAGATATCGAAAATCTGTAATTACAGTCGACGAACAAGCCAGATACGCTAGCGCTCTGCCATTGCAAACGGTTTGAGGCAAACAGCGCCGGCAGCACCAGTGTGGAAAGAGTGTCTGATCTTGAAGGCAACGCCCACAACTACGTGACCATTAAAGCAAACGTAGTTCGTGCTTACATCACTTTCAGTGATTCAAGTCTACCTGCTCTGAAGGATGCAAGGAGAGCGACTTGAATGGAATTTGAACATGTAATCTTCTGACCGCCGCTAAGACGTTCCATCTAACTTAACTAATAAAACGGGTATCAATGTCAAGAATTAACAATGGTGCCGGAGGTATTCGGTCAACAGAACCGCCACAGTAGGAGTTTCGGAATTTAGGTGATAATCAACAATTAAACTCCGCGGTTGCCGGTTCCAAGCATGGCTGAGAAAGGAGCAGGGTTGGAAACCGAAGTAAAGTCTTACTGAAAGTTCGCCACCTAGTACTATTGGTACTGACGCCATCGAAAATTGCATCTGTTCGGTCGCCGCCGGGGATACCAAGGGG